CCCCCCCAACTTTTCAGCAGGAGGGGCTTAGCCCCCCAACTTTTGGTAGATGAACAATAAGAAATACCATCACATGGCTTTATTTCAAGTTGTTAGTAGGTTATTATTAGCTTGAAACTTCATTACTTAAATGGGCATAATGTAGCAATAACAAATGGCAGGAATTAGGCATGCAGTAGCTGTTGAGAGCACATATGACAGTACATATTTACAAGTTTTTATGTTCAGCCCCCCTAACTTTCAAATCATTCCTACACCTATGCGTATAGCACTATATTTCATGGATATAAAATTTCGCAAAAAAATTGTTCCTTCTAAGCATTCACGAATAAAAAATTTCATGAAATGATCATGTTACAAAATAATTGTAATGAAAGTGGGCATGGCGTGTTGCAGTGCGAAGGTACTTTTGATAAAAAATTCTCGTCAGGATCAGGTAGAAGTGAAGTGGTCTGACTAGTAGGAGCAGGATCAATCTTCTTGCAGTAGACTTTTTCTTAATGCACATGCATGCTGTTCTAAATTGAAGGTGCAGCTTCTGGTCCACAAGGTACCACTTATCTAATTAATAGTAAATTTTCATGGATAATTTTTTTTTGCGAATTTTGCTAACTTGTGAAATTTGAGAAATTTATCATCCATGAAATATATGTGCTATACGGTATATAGCTAATCAGTTTACTGCATGCATGTTATATGATGAAACTCGACTAGATAATACTAAAAACATTAGTCTGGTATTGTAAATAGGGCTTTTATTTTGTTGGTATATAAAATTTTGCAAATGTGTCCCAATTTTTATCTGTTGGTATAAATTTTCGCAAATGTGCCACACATCTTTTGTGAAATTTTAATTTCTCAAATTTAATGAAAACACAAAATTAGCAATTTTTCCAGTAAAATAATACCCCTATACGGTATGTCCAGACTATAAAAACATTATCTCAAGAGGTACCATTGGTGCACCCCTTTAAATTAAAAAATAATTTATTATGCATCAAAAATAATATATTGTGAGACAGCTAGACATTATAAATGATTTAAAATCTATCCTGCATGACTATACCACTTCATTACTCTCTGTATGCAGGAGATGTAACCATGCATGCATGTCATCACCCATCTCTTCAGCAAAACCCCTGTATTATACTGTACAAGATGATTTATTGGCAAGGCATTAATTTTGGCAATTTCCGCTTTTATGAAGAAATCATCCATTTAAAAATTGCCATTTTGTTTCGATTTGAGCATGCTGAATGGCACATGGCACAAAATTGCCAATATAAAATACCTTTCCACCATAAGAAGCAGCAAAATTTTGAGTTCACCGGGGCTCATTAATTATTCATAGCAATTAGTGGCGTGGTCAATTAATCAAATGACTAAATAGTTGCTGACACAAGCCAGTTACCACACTAAAATAACTGTAAAGAGGAATATAAACAGCTGCATTTATAAAAAATGAATTATCAAAATACATCTTTTGGGTGTGGTTTTGATTAAAAACTAGGCTCTGCCTGACTAGGCAAAGCCCAGGTCAGCAGCCGCCTATGCTTTCCACAAGCGAATTTGGCAAATATTATTCTCGCCAATAAATCATCTTGTATGATATACTTATTAGCAAATTATCTACTCATTTCATTAGTTGCTATACCTTTAATTATATAGACTAGTCTACTTACTTAAAATGATTATTTTTAGACTACAATGTTGTACCAATCAATTCTGTTACTGTGACTGTGAGGGACTACAGTATAATCAAGAGTAGATAATAATTAGAGGAGAGTGTCCTACTGGCTATAAGGTCTGCTTCATCACGGCGTAGAATTGAAGAGTCACATTCAGGTTATTTCTGTATTTTCATTGAGTTTGAGTAGTTATTGCTAGTTATTTTCAAATAACTACTAAAAAATACTGAAAATATCCTGAATGTGACTCTTCAATTCTACATCGTGATGAAGCAGGGGGTATAGGCACAATAGGACACTCTCCTCTAATTATTATCTACTCTTGGTATAATGTAGATTTAATTTTGCAAGCCAGACACTCCACCTACATTCATTTAGGTGATTGACTGGGTCTGGTTTGCGAAACTACTAAGAACTAAGTCTCTTAGTCTCTATAAACCTGGTAAATTTTGTACCTTGTACCAAAAGATTATCTAACAAGACACCATTGGTGTACTATTTACCCCGGCTTTAATATGCTTAATTGTAATTCAAAATCTGTCCAGTATCTAGACATGTAAGTTTACCATGCATGTTAAATATCATAGCACAGTGCCTATAATACTTGTCATGCCCTTACTTATAGACTAGATCTACTTACTTAAGTTACCTAGTATCAATCAATTCCTGAAACTGAGAGAACGGCAGTTCAACGGCTGGAAGGGCACACGCCACACAGATCGTTAGCATGCTTTAATAACCATTATTATTTATTATTTATTACTATTTTGCCCTGCCTACTTTTTCTATTGATAACAAGCCTCGACCTATCTCCAGTCCGGACAACTGGCTGATTAATAAATGAGAACCGGGTGATATCAGAGTACACAGGGATTGGAAACGGGGCATAGCAACAGGAAAATGCCAAAATGGCTCACAAAATTACTCTGTAAAATACACTCATGAATAATAATGAGAACTAATGATAATCAATAATCACAATGAATAATAAATCACTCATAAAACCTCACAGTGTCTGTATCGTTAAATTCTGAACCATGGATACTAATAAATTCATTTTTCAATGAATCAATGCTATTTCTCAACGGCAAAATCTCACCAATCTGGAAGTACACTTTGCATTATACCATTATACTAAGTCAACAATGCAATAATTTTGGCTATGAAGACAGAAATCAAACAAAGACACAATTGCTTTATAATTACAAACAGTACATAAAAGATGAGCCTGTTGTAGATAAGTATAGTAAATATCTCACAACCTAACTGGATTGATTTTGTACATAAACTATATCTAAGTATTTTTATCCACTCATCACTAGATCCAGTATAGATAGAATCGATACTGGATATCCCATTCCTCCCTTTAGAAAGATGCTTTTTCATTCCTCCCCTTTTAATTTGAAAGATACTTTTGCTGATCAAAAGATAATGCTGCATGACAGTAACAAACAACCACACAAGCCATTGCCTGTAGTGAATACACATGATGTGCTAAATGTCATTTTTGTTTTAGTTTTAGTAGCAAATCACTCCCTCTTGATTGATAGAAGTTTTGTACAATTAACATAAAAAATAAATACAATTAAAACATTAAAATGTAATAATTGTCATACAATGTCAAGCTCTAATTATACATAATGTGCTAGTATATGTGTGAAACAAGTGTGCAATATGTGCTGTAAAAGAGTATATAGTTATCTCAATCGCTGACTTTCCATTTGCTTTAATTCTTTGATTATTTCAGCCATTTTTGGGCGAAATTCCTTTTTCTCATTGATGCCTCTCTGCACTAGGTTCTTCATTACTGTCCATCCTGCAATTTTTAAGGCTTGCTCTCTCCTTTCTTTTACGGTTGTTTCTGGTGCTTTGTTTATAATCATTTCTATTAGTAGTACGCAAAAGCTATAGACATCCATTGCTGGTGTATGCTCATTAGGATTGAAAGCTTCTGGTGCAGAATATGCTATGCTTCCTGGCCTTTCCGTCTGAGAATCTACAGCCATAGCAAATGAACCGTAATCAGAAACCTTTGCTCTGTATTTAGCTGGCCCTATGTTGTCAAGCAGTATATTAGGACTGCTAACATCTCTATGAATAAGAGCATTGGGTTTCTGCAAGTGAAGATAATTGAGGCCTAAAGCTACCTGTATAGCAATGCTGAGAATAGACGGTCTTGCAAGTTGAACATTTTTCTTTTCATAATATAGGCTAGTGGTCATGCGCTCTGTCAAAATGAGAGGATTGTCTCCTAACGTTGCACCAATAAACTGGACTAGATTAGGATGGCGCAGTAGTGATGCCATTTTCATTTCTCTTATGAAACGCTCTTCATTGTAGTATGAGGCTATCACCGGGTGAAGGTACTTAACTGCTACTTTTAACCCTCGAAATATTCCAACCATGACAACACCATATGACCCTCGACCTAACTCTTCATCTGTAATCACAACTTCCTTTTCATCTACTTGCCAAGCATCACATAAAAGGTTGCATTCATTTTGATATTTACGAGCTTCTTCTTGAGATTCGCGTAACCGTTGTTGCAGCACTGCCTTTTCAAGCTGAAACTCTCGTAGCTTCTGTGCTTTTTCATCTTGAGATTGACTTAACATTTCTT